ATGACAGAAACAAAGACGGTCTCTGACAACAATATGACAGTGTCAGATCATCATCCTCTCACACCAAAAATGGCTGCCAGCAAAGGTCTGACCTTCTCAATTGACAGTATCATGAACAGAAGGCCAGCAAATTCACTCAGATCTTCCGATGACTCCCCACCTCCTCATTTAACTCTGGATCCACGAGCCAAGCCTCAGACACAAATCTGCAGCTCAGATTCTGTAGGAGGATCTACCCTTTTGACTGACACGTGTGAGGTGACATCACACGGCCATAACCTTAATGGTACACATAAACTAGAATTGAATTCCCAGACCAGCAACGGAAGTTTTGAATCCAAAATATTTTCGATTACTCCCGCCTCTCCTAGTGACCAGAGAAAAGGTCATGGCTTTAATTTGGAGCATCCGAGCAGAAATAACCCATTAACGGGATTAATCCACCGCCAAGACCCAACTCAATACCACCAGGATTCATCAATCCACTCTCCGTCTTTCACCCCTGCAGAGTTACACAGTCAGAGTTTTATCCGTTATACAAGAGACATTCGCGAAGAGCTGCGTGACCCAACCCAAACCCAACGCACGACAGCAGGAATCCCCGACGGCGCCCAAGGACTTCTTCATTCTGATATTACCCGCCATTTCAGAGATTTAAGTCAGATGTACCATCTCTTTCACCCAGCGTTTCTGGGAGCTGTTCACAGAACCACATCTTTGGAAGACTACCATGCCCATTTGCTAAGAACCTCCCCGTGGATAAGCACAAACCTGAACTTAGGGCAGATGTCTAACGTTCCTGCAAGCTTATTGGAAGCTATGAAGCACTCGCAGCTACTACACAGCGCCTTGAGAAACCCCACAGGCAACAATCATCACGGGCTGAGAACGAATAATAACAACAGCATAGGATCAGTAACGTCTTTAGTTGAAGGAACAGTAACATCTTTAGCAGAAGACCCAGTAACGTTGAGATACGGATTTAAACTAGATAAACCTCCTCATGGAAAGCTTAGCCCATTACCCACCACCATACAAAACGGTTTCACAAATAAACAACACGAGAAAAACATAGATCTCTGCGACTCTCAAAGCAGTGACTCCAGCCATCAAATCTCTGTAAAAACTGAAGACAGTAATGTGGATGACGATCAAAGCGAAGACTTGTCATCCCCAAACAGTTCCGTGGCATCGAGCAGCCCAGAAGATTGCAGGTCAAAGAAGTTCATTGGAAAATCCCCGAAAACCTTTACGTGCCCAGAATGCGGAAAAGTTTTCAATGCTCACTATAACCTGACCCGACATATGCCAGTACATACTGGAGCCCGACCGTTTGTATGTAAAGTTTGTGGGAAAGGTTTCAGACAAGCCAGTACACTCTGTCGGCATAAGATAATACATACCTCGGAAAAACCGCACAAGTGTGGCACTTGTGGCAAAGCTTTTAACCGTAGCTCCACTTTAAATACACATATGCGGATTCATCAAGGGTACAAACCGTATGTGTGTGAATTTTGTGGAAAAGGCTTCCATCAAAAGGGCAACTATAAGAACCACAAGCTAACTCACAGTGCAGAGAAGCAGTATAAATGTAACGTGTGCTCCAAAGCTTTTCACCAAGTGTACAATTTAACTTTCCATATGCACACTCATAACGACAAGAAACCATACACCTGCCACGTCTGTGGCAAAGGTTTCTGTAGAAATTTTGATCTTAAGAAACATATGAGAAAACTTCACGACGGTGGACGCGTGGTCAGTTCAGCGAGCCCATCGTCAGACCCGCTAAGTCCTCCTTCCTCACGAGATGCCCACTCAATGTCCAGGCCAGCTCACGGACATCTGTTTCCTGGGCAGAACAGTTTTGCTCACTCAGCGTTTCTTGCACGGTCTTCCATCTTCACACACCACCAAGCAATAGCATGCCAGAGGCGATATCTGTCGCCGTACATGATCGGACCAAACACAGCCAGCCTTCTGCACAAAATATCTACTGTTATTTAATTGCTCCGATCACCATCCATTGCCTGGCGTCCGTGGCTTAGGCGTTGGGAGTCCGACTCGTAATTCCAACGTACCGCAATCGAAACCCACTGCTGGCTGCGTGGATTGTTATCATGTTATAGGGCGTCGCAGGTCGACCCATCATAAAATGAGTACCAGGATGTTTGTCATGGGAAAGTAGAGACGGCCGGCCTAATGTTGATGACATTACCAACTTAGTGTTAATTGGTCTATAGAAATATGAGTGCGCTTTCCTTAATCCCTATGCGCCTAAAGGCGTAAAAATGGAACTTTACTTTTACCTTTCATTGTGGACTGGAAACAACGGTTGTGGATGTGCAGCTTCCAGAAAACGAGGCAGAAGCCGACCTCCTGAAATGTGGATATTAGACACTAAAGATGCATTGGTTATAAAAGCACATAGTGCTGGAGAATTGGCTAGAGAGATTTTCAGGCATGTCGAAAAGAGAGCGACGTTCTGTGAAGTTACATGCTAATTGATGGTATCAGTTGTCTTCTTTCAAAACGCTCATACTCATTATATCTGCAGTTTTGGTTTATCGATTTGTCAGACTTTTGTACGCACTTCTTTTTTGTTTTGTTTTATATTTGTTTAGTTTTTAAATCACAGTTCAACATAGAAAAAAACATTAGAAAGAGTGAGAAGAAAGAAGAAGAAGAAGAATGAAAGAACCAGGAAGTAAGGAAGAGAAACAAGAGGGAGAGGAGAATAATAAATAATAATAATAATTATGAGAAGAAAAAGACGAAAAAAAAATGAAAAATGAAAGACAGAAACAAGAAAGTAAGAAAAAGACGGAAGAAGAAGGAGGAGGAGAAAAAGAAGAAGAAGAAGAAGAAGAAGAAGAAGAAGAAGAAGAAGAAGAAGAAGAAGAAGAAGAAGAAGAAGAAGAAGAAGAAGAAGAAGAAGAAGAAGAAGAAGAAGAAGAAGAAGAAGAAGAAGAAGACGAATAAGAAGAAGAAGATAAAGAAGTAGAAGACGAAGAAGAAGAAGCAGAAAAAGCAGAAGATGAAGAAGAAGAAGAAGAAGAAGGAGGAGAAGAAGAAGAAGAAGAAGAAGAAGAAGAAGAAGAAGAAGAAGAAGAAGAAGAAGAAGAAGAAGAAGAAGAAGAAGAAGAAGAAGAAGAAGAAGAAGAAGAAGAAGAAGACTTTCAAGATGTTGGGTTGACTGCCTCACCGCCGTTTTAATAAAAATGTTGCCACTGCAGATATAATTTCTACGATTCTGGTTGGTTAAATTATTATAATTTAATCAAAAATTGTCTTTAAATCATGCATAGAATTATTCAAGGAGAGAGAGAGAGAGAGAGAGAGAGAGAGAGAGAGAGAGAGAGAGAGAGAGAGAGAGAGAGAGAGAGAGAGAGAGAAAGAGAGAAATATAGACTGAAAGAAAGTGAGAATTGAGAAAGCAGAGAGAGAGAGAGAGAGAGAGAGAGAGAGAGAGAGAGAGAGAGAGAGAGACAGAGAGAAAAAACAGAGTGTGGAAGAGAGAGAGAAAGCGTCGAAGAGAGGAGTTATATCCAATTTCCTATGTTAATGTAATGTGTGTCTGTTGTGTCTCTTTTACTCTCTCCACCCATTTATTTCTTGGTCGGACTCTTGCCTCCACCGCGAAGGCCTTCTAACATCGACAAAATACAGAAGTAAAAGGAATAAACGCATAAAAAAGATGTAAAAAGTAATTAACATGCTGAATGTAAGGTCTTAAAGGGACTAACTCTATTGAACAGATAACAAAAGTATTAAACAAATAAAACAGCGAAAGATAAACGTATTAAACATGTTAAAATAAAAGAGCTAAAGAAACATATACTCAATGTAATAACAACTGGGAACACAGCGATTAGCAATAACTGTTAAGTTTTGTTTTACTCAAATAATCAGCAAGGAAACAATCGTTAACTCTTTAGATACGAAATAATTGAACACACGTTTCTTGGTCATTAAAAGGCAAAGTTCTGTTCTTGTATTTGTCCTATAAAAGTTGCTTATCCTTTACAGATGTTGTAGAACCAGCCATAGCATTTGTGAGTGTGTGTGTGTGTGTTTTATTTTGTGGTTTTTGTTTTGGCTGTTGTGGTTTTGCTATGCAAATGTTAACTTTATTAGTTTGCCACTGCTCCTGCACGGTCGGCTTTTGGCACAACTGTCGTAATCAAATTGTCCGCAGCTGCGATCCAACCCGGCATCCCGGCATTACGAAGCGCGTTCGCAACGCCCAAGCCACAGACAGCGACTGAAGAACAACAGTACGTTGTTCTTAAAAAGGGGTACATTTACTGCCTGATAAGCGAAGAGCAAATATAATAACACTCGGGACTTATCCATTGATCTTATCTTCAGCAGCCAGTGAAAAATTTCATTTTCGATAGTACCAGTAACAGTTTGATTGTATGTCCGTCTAACGTTTTACTTATCAAGAAAAGATATAAAATCGAACGAAAAGTATGTAAGCTAGCTTCACAATACAATAAATACAAACAACACTTGAACGTTGCGGCTATGAAGCCTTCATCAGCACATACACAAATCAAACAATACCACACAAATACACAAAATCACTAGCTTTTTACTTGAGTCGTGGGTGCCGCTAAAATGCCATGGCTGCTTCTAGCTGTACTATTCTTTTCAGTCTTTGGTGGTGATCCTTTTGTGCTTCCACACTGTTCACTCGCTTCCAAGGGACCCTGACAATATCTAGCTCGTCACTATGTCCAAACTGCACATTTAACCATTTCTATCTCAGTGTTTCTTGTGGCTCTCATGATGACCCAGATTTTAATACTTTGAATTAGCTAAAAATTCTGGTGATTGAGGGGGGGGGGGGGGGGGCCTCTGCCACTGAGGAAACATGTCGTACACTGCTATTTTGGTTAGAGGTTTATTGAATGTTCTCGTGCTGGACCGAAAGGATAAGATATCGAAGTCTAGACGTAAACAACTACCCAACGTTCCCATAGCCTTTTCAAGGGTGAGAGCAAATGAAGAAGAAGAAAAAAAAAGAGAAGAAGAAGAAGAAGAAGAACAAGAAGAAGGAGAAGAAGAAGAAGAAGAAGAAGAAGAAGAAGAAGAAGAAGAAGAAGAAGAAGAAGAAGAAGAAGAAGAAGAAGAAGAAGAAGAAGAAGAAGAAGAAGAAGAAGAAGAAAAAAAAGAGGAAGAAGAAGAAGAAGAAGAAGAAGAAGAAGAAGAAGAAGAAGAAGAAGAAGAAGAAGAAGAAGAAGAAGAAGAAGAAGAAGAAGAAGAAGAAGAAGAAGGAAAAAAAACAGTAGAAGAAAAAAAAAGGAAGAAAAAGAAAAATAGTATAAGTATAAAGAATAATATTAATAATAGTAGTAGTAGTAGTAGAAGTAGCATCAGTAGTAGTAGTACTAGTAGTAGTGGCAGTAGTAATAGCAATAGTAGTATTGAAAGAGGATGAAGAAGAAAAAGAAGAAGATGAAGAAAAAGAAGAAGAAGAAGATGCAGAAGAAGAAAAAGAAGAAGAAGAAGAAGAAGAAGAAGAAGAAGAAGAAGAAGAAGAAGAAGAAGAAGAAGAAGAAGAAGAAGAAGAAGAAGAAGAAGAAGAAGAAGAAGAAGAAGAAGAAGAAGAAGAAGAAGAAGAAGAAGAAGAAAATAAAAAAGAACAAAAGAAAAAGAAAAAGATGAAAAGAAGAAGAGGGAAAAGAAAGAAAAGAATTAGTTTAATTCAAGACAACTGATTACAATAGAAAACGAGTTTTTTCCTCACTTAGATGGGACAGAAAGAGTTAATGTATGGTTGTCCGCTTGTGCAAAGTCATTCATTTATATGTGTGTGAAATAACTAACATATTTATGCAAAGATTACTCGGCTCAGACAAGTAATCTTGAACTGGTTCATGGTTATTTGTCATTGAACTTAAAGAAAACCATGTATTGTATAAAATGTGGCTCAAGTTAATACAGACTGCATAATATCTTGTTTTATTTCTTGATAATTAAAGAAATTTTGTTTAGAAAGAAAACGGGAACTTTTGTTTTGTTTTCTTTTGATAACTGATTTTCTTGTAGAATGTGAATTGTATAACCATAAAAGTTGCAAACAGTCGAGAACACAGCAACACAATTCATAACCACATAAATCACCACTAATTTACTGACATGGTGTGGGTTAAGACTGCTTTGGCAGGGCATAGGTACAGAATATCATACAACACGAGAGAATATCATACAACACGAGAGAATATCATACAACACGAGAGAATATCATAAAACACGAGAGAATATCGTACAACACGAGAGAATATCATACAACACAAGAGAATATCATATATTAGAGAAACAAAAACAGCCGCACGAAAAAAAAAAATGAAACGTGAATGGGCCACGAGGCAGACCAAGAAGAGGAGAGATATACAAGAAAATCTACGAACACCGGGAAAAACATCAACTGGAAAAAGAAGGCGGAGTAGAGAGATGGAGGCGGGTGAAATCTGCAGCAATGAATCTCAAGGGATCATAATGCTGAAGGAGGAGAAGAAGAAGAAGATGATGTCTGTAAAATGAACAAATTATAGTGCGTTTCAAAAGTTTCGCCCTCAAACTTTAATAAATATCTCGAAAACTACTGTACGGGTCAGCGTGCATTTTTGCTTGTAGCCATAGATTTTCAATATCCTTCAATTTTACAGTTGAAGCCGTGGCGTAGCGGCATGACGCTCGCGTGCGGATCGGAAGGTCGTTGGTTCACTCCATGTTTAAGCGGACTTTAAACAAAAAAAATACCTACGACCCAGCCTTGAGTGGGTACCGAGGGCAGTCCCGGGAAGTAAAGGCGTCCGGTCTGATGCTAACCACATCACCCATTCTGTGCCGATTGATCTATAAAAATATAGGTCTAGCCCTCTGCGCTTAAAAGCGTGGAAAAGGGAGCTTTACTTACTTTACTTATGATTTTACAGTTTACAGCTGCACAGGTGCTTCTGTATTCATAAAGCGGCAAATGTCTTTGATCTTTGACG